TGGCTGTGAAGAAGGATTTGAGAGGGAAAATGGCTGTTTTGAGTCTTTTGGCTGGTTTATTTGCTATAGCACTATACGGTGTCGTTTCAGTTTCAGCTCAAGAGGATTTAGTGCATTTAATTTCAACAAAAACTAAGGGGACAACAAGTGAAGATATTGAGTCAACCCATTTGACAAAAATAATGAACTTCTTGCAGCAGAGTATTATGATTATGAACATGCTGTCCAAACATTTGTGGCCTGTAAGTTTTCAATTTCTGATTATTTAAGTATGTAGAAATTTATAATCTTGGTGAAATTTAATTAAAAACTTAGTTAATGTTGAAAAATTGATTTGAATTATTACATTATTGGGAATTTTTTGCAGGATATGGAATTTGGCTGGAAAATTGTTGTTGGTACAGTGATTGGATTCTTCGGGGCAGCTCTCGGGAGTATAGGAGGTGTTGGTGGAGGCGGCATTTTCGTTCCAATGCTCACTTTAATTATCGGGTTTGATCCGAAAACTTCGACTGCAATATCTAAATGTGAGAATCGATATTTTTCGCATTTTTCTGCTTTAATATTAGACTATGTTTGGTAAACCTAGCAACACATAAGTTAGCTTATAACTTTTAAGTGAATTATGACTTACGGCTGAAAAACTAACTTATATGATAAAAGAGTTTGTTAAAATTAGTTGATAAGGTAGCTGAAATAAAAATTTCAATAAGGAAGCTTATGAAATAAGCTCGAGTTTTTTTTTTAAAAAAAAAAACTCGAGTTTATTTGAATACATGAAGCTTATAAGCTAATAAAAAATAAGCTATAAGCTAGCTTATATGTTTACCGAACACAACCTTAGACAATTTTCAGTATCTGCAAGATAACTATTTGTATATGTGGTCTTAATAATTCGATTTTTGCTTGTGATTCTGCATATAATTCGATTAGGAATCCACACTATACAAAAAGGGTGCTTAAATTTCTGATTGTAGATTTCAAATTACGAATAAGAGACTTATAATTTTCTTCATTCGAGACTCTCTTTCGACTCATTAGCGTAAAATTGTTACCCTTTTTAGCTTTCTGAACTTTGTTTGTAACATTGTGTTTTGATTCGATTGTCAGGCATGATAACTGGAGCTGCAATTGCTACTGTTTATTACAACCTTAAACTCCGGCATCCTACACTCGAACTTCCCATAATTGATTATGATTTAGCTCTTCTTTTCCAGCCAATGCTAATCCTCGGGATTAGCATTGGAGTTATTTTTAATGTGATTTTTGCAGAGTGGATGGTTACAGTCTTGCTCATACTTCTTTTCATAGGTAATAACCAAATGATTGATTTGCATCTTTTAAAAAATACAACACTTTTGCTATTATTTATCTGTTCGTTTGTTTGTTTGTCTTGTAATTTTTGCAGGTACTTCAACAAAGGCGTTCTTCAAAGGTGTCGAAACATGGAAGAAAGAAACTATAATAAAAAAGGTGTGTGATTGGAACATAAAATCGGTACTCTTAAAAAAAGTCATATATATATGTTTCGATTTTGATATTCATTTTTTTTTTTCCTTTTGAAACACAGGAGGTTATTGCTAGACGTTCGATCTCTGATTGTGAGTAAGCTCTTTTCATATAGTTACCGAGAAAAAAAAAATCACTAAATAGTTTGAAAAATTCGTGAATGTATTCTTGATATTTGTTTCTATTTCAAAGGGATCTTACTTACTATTTCTTGAATGTGATCGGATTTTTCTGCTGATTCTTAATGGTGTTTCATTCTAACTTCCAATACACGGGCTTTTTTGTTTGTTGACTTAAGCATCGGATAATGGAAATAAAGAAGCTCCGTACAAGCTTCTACCCGCCGGCCCAACTAATGAAACTAGATTGCAGTTTAATGAAAATAAAGCATCAAAGGTAATCAAATAATATATCATGAGTCTAAGGCTGTGTTTGGTAAACATATAAGTTAGTTTATAGCTTATTTGATTAGCTTATAAGCTTTCTGTATTATTTAAATAAGCATGGTTTGGTAGGATGAGTTTTTCAAAAAAACTCGAGCTTATCTCATAAGCTTATTTGGATAGCTTTTCAAATAAGTTCGTTGAAATTTTTATTTCAGTTATCACTTTTAGCTAGGTCTTAGCCACAAGTCATAAGCTATCAGCTATAAGCTCAAAAATCACACTTATAAGCTATCAGCTAATTTTATCAAATGTTGCTTTTGCAGGTTTCTATTATAGACAATGTCTACTGGCAAAAACTTGGCATTCTTATCGTGGTCTGGCTCATCATTCTCTTACTCCATATATCCAAGGTTTCATCTTCAAACGATTCGGTGTTAAGTTCGGTTGTAAATTTTGTTTTTTTACATTGTATTGATCGATTAGAACATTACCATCGACTTTTTTTTTTTTTTCATTTTTTTGTTTATTTTTCAGGATTTTACATCTACTTGTTCTGCAGCATATTGGACAGTTACCTTATTGCAGGTTAGTACCTCTGCCAAAACTCCAAATATTACATTTCTCCAAAAGGAATAATTACAAAAAAACCCTTGATTTGTGGCCTAATTACTAAATTTATTCATTAATACTCTTGTAACAATCCTTGTGATTTGGATTTTTCAGAGAGCCTCATAGTTATTGTCTTTGAATCTTAGATACCTGTGGCTATTGGGGCCTCTGGATATCAGGCTATCAGCTTATATAAAGGATGGAAAGTGATTGAATCCAAAGGAGAAGCAGAAAATAAGTGGACAGTGAACCAACTTTTTCTCTGTTGCTTTAGTGGAATATTAGCTGGTATTGTAGGTGGGCTGTTGGGCCTTGGTGGGGGCTTCATTTTGGGCCCACTATTTCTTGAGCTGGGAATCCCACCCCAGGTCCACTTCTTTTTTTTAATTATTATGATCTTGAATTTTGATATTTTCATGTGATCAAAATAAAAATTGTGAATTGTTACAAAATATTGGCCAATCTAATTCCAAATAAAAGAGAAAAATAAACACATATATTTTAGGTATTTTATATATAAAGTTTTAACCTAATTTGCAAGATTGTTTCTCTTATTGACTATCTTACTGCGGAACCACATGTATTTTGGATAACTCAATCTGTAAATCATTCTGATAATGTAGCATGACTCGAACATTTATTATTCTTAGAAAATAATCTCTCTCTCTCTCTCTCTCTCTCTCTCTCTCTCTCATAAGGTGTCGAGTGCCACCGCAACATTGGTTATGATGTTTTCGTCGTCAATGTCTGTAATACAGTATTATCTCTTGAGGCGTTTTCCGCCAACTTATGGTATTGTAATAATTCTCATGTAATTATTGGAAAGTATTTTTTTTCTTTATTATTATTACTAATTTCTTTATTTTTTCCTTGCAGCCCTTTACTTTGTGATTGTGGCTACATTTGCTGCAATAGTCGGGCAACATGTCGTTCGAAAGATGGTCAGTATACTGAGGAGAGGCTCGGTTATCATCTTCATTTTGGCCTTCACAATCTTCAGTAGTGCAATCTCACTAGGTAATAAGTGCATTTCTCAAAAAGNATTTTTTATTTCTTTTTTTTCTTTTATTATTATTATTATTATTATTATTATTATTATTATTATTTTATTATTATTATTATTATTATTATTATTGACTGTTATTTGTATTTGAGTGACTGGACTACTACTGGTAGCAAGTGAATTGAATTGGGTGTCTCTTATTTCATTCTTCTTTGAAAGCTACTCATGATTTTTATTTTTGAACTGCCAATTTTGCATTTATAAAACAGATTATATGTTTCTACTTCTCCATTTGGCCAGGTGGCATTGCAACATTGTTCAAGATAATTGTATAAGAAGTGATCAGTCAAAATAAAAGTAAAAATTGAAAGAGAGAATGTAATCAAAGTTAGAGAAAGATCAGTAATGTTATAGTTGTATTGTTACAGTTTTCTAGCTCATATTACCCCTGCTTTACAAAGTGATTATTTCTAGAAAAAAAAAATATATATTTGGAATATAATTAATTCATGTTTATATTAAAAAAAAAAAGTTGCCGCTATTGTTTTTTCTCCAAAACTGTTTTTGCTCGCAATTATGTAAAAACTTATGTACCTAAAAAACTTGAAAATTGGAATAATCACACTCAATAATACTTCACCAAATCTCCAAAATTTTTATCAATTTCTACACTCGAGTCAAGTACACGATGAATGAAAGTCCTCTGTTTGGCCGGACAGATAACTATTTTCTCTAATGCACACACAGTAAATTTTACACAGGTATACATTAACATTATCTTTTGCAGCCGAAATTTTACTGCATTTTGTTTCTAATGGTTGTCAAGGTAAATAAACTTTAATGTACGGTAAAATTCCAGCTTACTGACTACAGTTCATCTTTGGCCGAACGATCTTGGGACTTCAAATTTTTGTTGATTAGTGATGCCAAATCCTTCACACCGGATTTTGTTGGAAGCTTGATCTGCAAATGAAAAAACAAGGCTAAAAGGGATGTAAAAATCAGTGAAAAAAAATTACAGTAAACAATTATTACATGATAAAAAAAATTACCGGATTCGACTTGTTAGCTGGGTAGAAGAGTAATGTTGGGTAGTCCTCAACCTGCAATTTTTCAAAATGATAATAATTGTTGAAAATTACACATGGTGCACTCGTATTTATTCATCTTGTACAAAAATTGCACATTTCGAAGGGACTTTACCTGTAATTTTGGATGTTCATTAGTTGAAGCATCGATTCTTGCAAAAACGAGGTCTTCCAAACCATTGAAATGCTTAGCCAATTTCTCCACTTTCTTGCTCGTGGCTTCACACGTTATGCACCAAGGCGTGTGGACCTAAACAAATAGCAATTTTCGAGTCTTTTGTCTATAAATAATACATACAAAATTTTTCTAGATCATTTAACAAATATATTCCACAAACAAACCTCTAAAAGAATGTTTTTCGGACTGTTCAAGACCAAGTCATCAAATGTCTTTCCCACGAGAGTCAGAATGCTGGCATTTTTCTGGAATTATGAAATTCGAAAGATTATATTTCAAAGATTATTCAAGAAGTTGAAATATGAAAGAAAAATGAATCAAATCAATTAAATCTTGACCAAGACAATTTACATGAGAAACTCACATTATCTGGAATAGGTTGCGATTTGTAGTATGGGCTCAGAGTCCCTTTCACAAGCCCTGAACAGAACTCCTGCAATGCAAATATTATATAGAATGATTGTTAACACATTAAAAAAAAAAATGTGGTTTAAAGTGCTAATCATGAAAATTGAAAACTCCGCCTGAGGTTTCGTCCAATTATTTAAAAATAAAAATCTAGCTATCTTTCACAATGCGAGAACAGGGTTTTCTGTAATTAGGTTAAACTTCGGGCAGTTTTTGAAAAAAGCCAAGTTTAAAATCAGGATCATATAAAAAAGAAAATTCTTACTTCGATGTTTCTTGATGTGGGATCTGACTCAAGGAGATACTTGGAATTGTATTTGTAGTCAAAAGCTACAACCTACACAGAATGAATCATACGGGACAAAGTCAAAGAACTTCTCAACCTGAAACTGTAAGATAAACACATGATTTGAATTTGATAGAGCTCTTACAACAGTTTCTTCAGAATCTTCTAGACCGAATAAAGTCAAGAAAGGCTTTGCGAGGTTTTCCTCTTGAATATCTACTGCAACGAGCAATATCTGCAATTTTATGGAAAAAATTAAGGCATATATCTTTAAAATCAATAACACTTAACAGTTACAAATCTCATATTATGTGTAAGCAGCATTTTTCTACGTATAATGATAAAATGAAAAATGAAGAATAGCCAAAGGCGTTTGTCTAACCTCAGACTTGAACTTCTTTGCAACTTCCTGTAATGACTCGGTAAGCTTCTTCAAGTCATCAGCCTCAGCAAAAACATACACCTGCTTGATATTCTCTAAATTAAATAAATAAATGAATGAAGCAGCAAAGTATATTTTACTGTAAGCTGATGTAGGCGAACCTGCCGTTTATTTGTGCTGGAGTATACTTTAGCAGAGTTGAGCTCAGTCATTACGGTAACTAATGGGAACTTATTATTCTCCAAAAAGTGCAATATTCTGTCCGAGGTCAAGTTTCCATCTGTAACCCACAAAAAATTTCCTCTTCAGCAGAAAAAGACCAAATGTAGGAAATTACGAGAAATTGAAGAGTTCGTGAATGGAGAGAGAAACTAATTTTAATGCTCTTCTATATGCTGAACATTTTTTTAATCAGATTTGAAGCTAAAAAAAGAACACTCTTTGAAGAAAGTTAGTTAATAATGATGGATGCACTGATTTTTTCTATGGAAGTGAAGCAATTTAACATCTCGTCATAATAATTAATATTTGCTCATATTTTAAGTCAGTTTGGTTCATATTATTTTTTCATGAAGTCTGTACATGATATGATATGAGACTACTTTTTTTCTGGCCCAATTTAAACTTTAAACACTATGAGCTACCTAATGACGTGTATTGTTCGGGTTCGCTTTTGACAAGACCAAAGAAGGGTTTATCGAGATTCCCAAAAGAATACAAGACTTTAGCTACTTCTGTACTGCTCGTCTCAACAAATTGAATTTCATCATCTGCAGTTGCAGCTTTTGTGAACTCTCCATATTCAGGTCCCTGTCGATATTTAATTCATGACTTGGATCATACAAATGTATACAAAAGAAAATGAGGAAATGAAAAGAAAAAGAAAAAGGAAGGTTAAAGGAAGAAGAAAGAAAATAAAAGAAAAGGCTATAAGTATAGATCAACATTTTATAGCAAATAAACTCTAATACCATTTCGAAGAAAATTCAAAATTTTATCTCATCTTGAGCATACCTCAAATTTATCAAAGATCCCAATTGCATACTTAGAGTGCCGCTTGAGAAATTCATTTGCCTCGGCAACCGAGTATATTCTAATAACCGGATAACCTGTTTTCTTCCTTGCCCATATCACCATTTCTTCCCTTTTCATGAAAAAGAGACATACGACTTTAATATCGCCCCACATATAACAACCAAACTGCTAATATTACTATGCGGCTATGAAGTGCTGCAAATACAAATACATTGCTAACAATTAAAAATTAATCAGTTGCGTGACATGAAGCACACAGTCGATAAAAATCTACGAAGAATTTCACACAGTCGATAAAAATCTACGAATGAAAATTCTTCGGTTTTCTAAATTTCTACTAAGATAACGACAGGTATTTCACTTCTTGATTCCCCACCAAACTAAAAAAACGAAAAGAATAACAATAACAGATGGATAAAAAATGAAAAGCATACATCTTATGATACTTGTTCAGTCTCCTCAAATCAACATTCAATGATACCCTTATGATCAGCAAACTTTACCCAAAAAAAAAAAGAAAGAAAAACGCAGATAAGAACATAATGAATCGTTTTGTCCTAAAAAAAAACAGAACACGTACGAGGAAAATCCGCCGGTGTAAGCCTCAGAACTTCCATTGACAAACAGCAACAACGTTGGAAAACCTTTAATCCCAAGACCCGCAGCAGCCTTCGGATACCTCTCAGAATCAATCTTAGCCATCAAAACCCTACTCTCTAAACCCTTCAGCACATTCGCAGCCTCCGCAAATCTCGGCATCAGCTCCGCACTTCTCGCACACCACGGGGCATAGCCCAAAACAAAAACATACTCATTTTCCTCAATTATCCTCTTCGTATTATCACTGTTCAGCTCGATAACTACTCTCTGGGCCTTGCTCAAAACCTCGGCCCCGGATTTCTTACCAGAATCTTTACCTTCGTGATGGTTCTTGTGCTGCGGATCTTCCTGGCGGCCATCTTGTTCGTCGTCGATGGCTAGGAGCTCTTCAATGTCTTCAAAATCGTCATCAGTTTCTTCATTTTGTGATAATACTGTGGCGTAAATAAAGGGGGAAATTATGAGATAGAGGATTATGGGGAAAAGGAGGGATTTTGAAGTGAATCTTGATTTGGGCATGGTGAATGTGAAGCGAAAGATTGAAACTTTGATTGAGATCTGTTTGAATGGAGTAGTAGAGAGATGAATGTGTGAGTTGGGAGGGAGAGAAGTAAATGCAAAAACGTGCTGAAGTGTAAAGGGTTTAAGAAAAAAGATTGAAGAGAAGGGAAGGATTTCACACATTGTCAAAGACGGCCGTGAATCACGGCAATCCCCGACATTTTTTGCTTTCTTGGTGTAAAAATTTTCTGTGATTTTTAAAATAATTTATATAATTGTATTAACTTTACTCTTTATTAATATTCGATCACGTGCATATATACAAGTACAAATATTTTTTTTTCAATATTATATATGTGTTTATGTAATATTAAAATAATAAACATATCACATTTTATAAATTTTATCATTAGTAAAAATGAACGATAGTTATATGTTAATTTTTATATTGATGCAATCTTGTTTGATTATGATTAATTAATTGGATAAAACAATAATGAAATTATTATTATTATTATAGCAGCTGTGTACAAAATTTTAAAGGTTTGGTTATGCTATAAAAATAATTAACTAATTTTATTAAAAGAAACTTGTTTAATGAGTTGAAAAAAAAAAGAAATACTAATTTTAAATAAATAGTTTAAAAAAAACTTTAGAGTAGAATAACATCTAATGTGACTTTATGATTAATTAATATTAATAATTATATAATAAAATAGATAAAAAATACAATTTCTTGTTTAATGCAAAATGAACAATACGAAATAGTTTTATTAAATTCTTTGTTAACAATTATATATATAATTATTAATTTTTCTTATCCTGAATTTGCATTGACCATATAGTCAACCAAATAACTTCTTTTATATTTAAATGACTAATAACATCTATTATATTGAAATTAATTAACCAATTTGCGAACTATATACCATCACCACCTTTATCATTAAACAACAATAGAGAAATATGAACAATCACGTTGTTAACACAAACTTCCACCAAATCACGTTGTTAACACAAACTTCCACCAATAATAAAGTGCTAATTACATTATACATATATTAAATGACATTTATCATTGTATAATTATTCCATTGAAANGGTCGGGACTTAGGCCAGCCGGGCGAGAGGCGGCCACCTTAGCCGGCCGGCCGGTGTCCGAAAAAAAAAGAAAAAAAAATTAAAAAGGGTGAAATCGTCTTTTTAAGGTGCGGTATTTAGTAAAATGGGTGCGGTATTTAGAAAACACAAAAAAAAAAAATACTGTCTTTGAAGAGTTGGTGGAGCACATTGATTGTGACGTAGAAGGGCATTTTCGTCGTTTTACAGGAACATACATATGAAACCTACTGATCCACACACGGGAAAGTATTATTGTGGCATATTAGTCTACCCGTATGCCCCCACATTATTATTCTATATAGATTATTGAATGTTAATAAATTTCCCACAACAACCCCAATGGTTTCACATGATTATAATAAAATGGTTTATTAATACCACTTACATATTTGAGCAAAAAAAACAAGAAAATACCACTTACATTTTAATAACTTGCATAATCAGTTGTGCATAATAATTAACATAAACAAGTGAACAATTGTATATATATTACACTTAATAAATTTTGTACTGAGACGGTCTAATTGTTCGGCGACTCGACTCGTCACACTATTTTTGATAAAAATGCATGTTATAAAATGTCATGTTCTTATTTATATTATATTTAAAGTATAAAATTTCAATTTAAAAAATATGTACATTTATTGAAAAAGTATGATTATACGTCATACTTGTATATCAATAGTCTTATTTATTGTTGTTATTGTTTATATATATGCAATGAAAAAGTGCCCAATACTCAAATATATAGTATATATGAGTAAAATTGTAGTATATTATTCCATTGGGTAAAAAGTGTTGTTGACATATATATAGCTTTTGAGTAAGCCAATTGGAAGAAACTTCCTTCACATATCCCTTATTTTCCAAGAATTCAACTCAAACTACTTTATTTGTCTAAATTCAAATGCACCTCAAAATAACTTCATAAAAGCACAAAATGAAGCACCTAAAGAAACATGTGGATTACACAATAAGATGGGAAAAATAATACTACAAAATTGATATTGGCAATTTAAACTTGCTAATGTCATTTTTAGGAGACTTTCATTATTATTATTATTATTAATATTATTGGAATTTCTATAAATTCCAAAGGGATATTTTATTTTGAGGTGCATCATTTGGTGTCTCGAACTTTAATTTAGAAACATTATTCCTTCTAGTAAAACAGTGACATATCACTAGGAATGGTTGCTGTCGTGAGAAAAGTCCTATTCCCTATAATTAGGTGCCTTTGAGTAGGGTAATCATAGATGCAGTTAAAATACATTCATAATAATATTTTTGGTATAGGTAGCACAACTTTTTTCTCATTTCAAAACAGGACAAGAATTATTTTTCAATTATAGCCACTCATAGTAAGTAAATTATACAAACAGGTTTTAAATTTAAAGAAGAGAAACTCGTGTGCGTACGCAACTACATATTGGTCAATACTTATAGCAATTGACTTAATGTAATGTTAATTATGATGATGATCATTATTCTTATTATTATTATATAGTATTGGGTTACACTCTAATTTACTAATATTTTCATGCTGTTTGTGTGTGCGTGTGTGTGTTTTTTTTTTATTTTGTAAGAAAAATTGTAATTTGTAAGATGTATATGATCAATTTATATTAGTATTGGATGATATGACATAGAAACATAGAATGTTAATTAAAAAGTATGATATGGCAGAGTTTTTTTTTATTATTTTATATGGAAGACACCATAATTATGAGAAATAAAAATACATATTTTTTTTAATAACTATAATTCCAATTAATTTTATTACAATGGAACATTGCTTGAAGGTTTTCCATATTGTTGGGCTAGTCTCAACATTTAACTTACTATTTAGATTTAACTTCTTTTAAAGATTTAAGTCGTGTGCCCTCGAATTATATGTAAAAATTTCATGATCTATCAATTACATATTAACTTTGTTGAATATATTAATTTATTGTCACATGAACATATTAATCCAACTTTAATGAGTATGCCAGCGAGATTAATTGGAATATGACACTAGTTAAATTACAGTTCTTAAAAGTAATTATACCTAATTGGACTATGACACTAGTCATAGTGGCTACAATTCCCTAAAGAAGCATTTGAAACCAGTCAAATTAGGCGGTTCCTTGACCATAACCCTAGAACACAAAATTCAACGTTAAAAATATTGAAACAAACGTGATATTTACTTTTGCTGATTAATTAATTAATCAGAGAAAATCATTCTACGTTTTCTAAGGTTCTACAATACCATAAAGGAAAAAAATAATTAAAAAAAATGAATACATCTATTATTGTTCTATACATGATTACAACAAAAATAATCAAACGCATGTTACGATCAACAAATTAAAATAATCCCACCTTTGTGTAAAATGCACTATTTTTCATTTATTTGTTAGAGAATTAATCTCATATCTGTTTTTACGCACAGAAAATAGGTTCATTTCATGTGATAGGACACCAGGCATAACTAATAAATCATATAGTATTCAACTTACAACAAACATGAAACACGCTTTTTTCCTTCCTTTTGTACAATTAATGTACTCGTGAACTAGTTATATTTATATTGAAACCCACATGTTTAGAATAAAATACTATCTCATATTAAAGGAAAAGAAAGTAAAGAAGAAGAAAAATATGTAGAATAAAATGATTAAAAGCATTTAATGTGCTGGTAATGCAGATGTGATGATAATAACTGGATATGGAAGCGAACAAATATTCCTATGATTACTCTATCAAGTTAGGATTAATTTATTTTATTAGTGTTCGAGCTCAGCTGAGTCCGGATGAATTTCGTTGAAATCGGCCAGAGCAAAATAAGAAGGAACGCTCAAGATCAACTCGAGAAAAACTTAATAATATATAAAGATTTGAAAATTGCTCGAGTTCGGTTAGATTCTTATCTATGTATATATATAAAATTGTAGGCAAAACTTTTAACAAAATTCTTTCCGTTTTTTCCTCTACTTTGTGTTATATTTTGCATTAATTAAGTAATTATATTTTTTTATTTAGTTTTATTACATCATGACTACTCGTAACTAAACATAAAGTCACATTAAATAATATTTTATTCTATTTTTTTAAATTATTTATTTATAATAATTATTTCTTTTTTTAGCTCATTAAGCACGTATTTAATTAAAAATTAATTACTATTTATGACAATTAAAGATTAATTATTATTTTTTATGTCATAACTAAACCACTTAAAATTCCTCCTATAATAATAATTTCAATATTATTCTATTTAATTTATTGGTCATAATCAACTAGTTTATAAGAATAATAGTTTATATTTATATTCTTTAGTTTTAATAATGATAAAATTTATAAAATGTTGTATGCTCTTTATCTAACTTGTTATTTTAAGTATTACATACACACACATATTACATATAAAATAATTATTTGCATCTGGATATGAGCACAAGATCGAATAATAATATTTGAAACTATGCAACACTTGATTTTAACTTCTAATTTCAATAATTAATGTTCAAAATTTCTTAAACTCAATGTTCGACTCGATTATAGTTCTACTTATGAGCGCTTGGAGGAATTGCAGTACAGGTCGTAGCCCGTAGGCACCTCGAAATATGATTGACATGCTTGAAGCCTTAAACAGAGATGAATTTTAGAACATAAAAAAAGTACATATCAATAGCTCCATAGTATAAGGGACTAAGATAAGGAGATAAAGAACATAGGAAAAAATATATTAGGACTTGAATAAAATTCTACTGATTGTTTCTTGGTTTCAATGAAAATCCATGTTTAACTCCATGACCACAACAAACAGCAGCTTTTACAAGTCTAAATTGTCAGAAAGGCATTGCTATGGCTTGGTAGGCTTATAATTGAGCCCATGTAAGGCCCTTCCTATATGAAGCCCATAAAACATCTACTCTAGACTCTGGACTTCATTAATTTCGCCTTGAGACTCCCTGAATTTATAGTAGTATAGTAATTGTAAAAATGGAGAAAAAGTTTTTAAAATAATAATAAAAGTTTATAATTGAATATGCTCAGTCAAGTTATCGTATGGGTAAGGAAATTTTTCAAATTATATTATTATTTCTATTTACAGACATATTTTTTCTTTCAATAATCAAGATCGATAGATAAATTTATTTTTTATATACAAACTACAAAGGCAGAACTAGTAACTTCATTTTATATGTGAAAATCAATGTCAAAACAAAATTCTTCAAACGATGATTAATTTTATATAATATATGTAGAAATTGGATAACAAATAAAAAGAATTAGTAAATTTTAATATTAATAAGGTATTTTACGGCTTTAAAGCTCCTAACCTGCATGGATAAAACTCTCAACTTACATGGACTATATATGATCAAACATATAATTAGGAAAACATCAGAAGATGATGACAGTTAGCTCTGCATATGGGATTAATGACGATTTGCATAATCAGGAGAGACATTGGAATTTTGTGAAATCAATATGATATTGGTATTCAATGCTAAAAGAAGCAAGATGAACCAGCAAATATGAACAGGGCTTGCAAGTTTTTAAAGAACATCGAGGACTTAATCGGTTATAACCAGTTGAGTCATTTCATATCCAATCACCAAATTCAAAATCCAACTCAACATAACTCTCATACTTCTTATAAATATAATTAAATAATATTAATCAATCATTCTCACACATCACACCTACTTTAATTCACTTTTTATTTGCTCACATAATTTTAACTACATATCACTTCCTAATCTTTCTCTTACTTTTACATCATATCAACTTTAATCATTACATTTTAAATATTACTTAATTTCAAATCTATTTTATTCAAAATAAATCATTATTTCCTAATCAGACTTTGTCTTTTTTGCTGGATTTATACTTTTGTAGGTTTTAGTTGTTGGGTGGGTTTTAATTATCTACCAATTAAGGATTTCAATGTTGAGATGGAAAACAAACTTAACCCGAGCACTGGTTCTACTAGCCATTTTTATTACGGAGTTTTTAGTTATAATCTCAAGTTAGGAAGAGTTTTTCACTCATGCTGTTTATCCTCTTTGTTCCTTGTACTGTTCTGATGTTCTGTAGGTAGATTTGTCTTCAATTGAGTCAAGTCAAATATATATATATATATATATAAGAATTTTTCACTAGAAGTTAAAAGTAGGAAAATGGTAGGCATTCTTTCTGTTACGCTGTCTAGTGTCTCCATCTTCCAAAAGCATGCATTTCATATTTAACATAGCAATAATGCAAAGTGGTCCAAAGCCAACATTGACAAGCCATTGGACTGATTTATAGTAACATAACAGTACAAGCCNTGACAAGAAATAAAGGTAGATGCGAAACTTACGGCTTGAGCTACTTGTTGCTCATAATAAACATGGCGATGAAAACCATGAATCTAAAGCAACTCTCACAAAATCAATCAACTTTATAACCTTGTGCAGATTCATCTTGTAAAACTTCGACTTGTCCAATCTTGGATTTTTGTTCCTCTTGCAACTGGACAAGGTGGAAAATTAAAATTCTCATCTTACAAAAATGAAAACACGGAGCTTGGGAAAAACAAGCACGATACCAGAAGCACAACTCTTGTACAAAACATCATTTGATATGAAGTAAATTGTTGTAAACATCAGTATGGATCCACCTTTTTTCTTTAATTAATGACATTAATATTAGATATAACCCGCCTCACAAGCTCTATGGATAAATATATGAAAGAAAACAATAATCACAATTATGTTAGCTCCAGAAATCAGGGCCATGGGATATGTTTATCGTTTCTCTAGGTTAAAGAAGATGGACATAACAGAAAAGTATAAGTTTACTTGATAACCTTTTCATTTATAAGTAAAATAGTATATCATCTAAGGTCCTAATCAAAGGAAAGGTCCATTACCTGCTGAAGAACCTTCTTTTGATAGCGGTATCCCTGCAATCACAAAATAAAAACAAAAAATGAAATAATTTTACGAGCCGTTATATACCTTTCTAAGTGAGCATATGATACATTCCAGCGATTACCTTGTCAGTGCCATAAATGTAATCGCAATAGGTAAATACTGAAGCAAAATTACTTTGACTCTGTCCACCAACATAATGATGGTAATCATGGTAATCTGGACCACCATAAAAAGGGATATACTTCGTTGGAGTCCAAGGTAAGTCGTACCTGCATCAATTGTATGCCTTCATGAACAAAAGCACCAGAGTAATAATCCTTATAATTAAAAAGACGCATACCGAAAGAGTAATGATGGAAAAAGCTTACACATTACCTGGCAAAGCATAGCAAATTTTCACAAGAAAAAGTAACTGCCAAGTTTTATCATCCGATGCTTTATACAAAATGATTTAGCCATTTTAAATCCACTGCAGCAAACAGAAGTATAATAGAACGGCTCCTAAGTATTTCGTCCCATAGACAAAATATGTTTGATGTAACCATCAGAAGAACATCCTACAAACTGAATGCTATTAATATCCAAGTAAATTGAGAAGGTGAAGGTGGGGAAATAGCCAGCAAGGCCAATGATGCAGACCAGATCACACTTAACTCAATGGACTACAGATTTGCTTAGACTTTATTTTACATGAAACGTTGATATGCCAAATAGTGACTAGAATAAAATGACAAAATATTCTCCCTTTTATAAAGCTCTAGAGAAGGAAACCATAAGAAGATTCATAATGGGAAGAATTGTAGCAGCATTTATGCGATTAACAGGAGCTGGAGAATATTACGAACCATGGAAGATGGAAAAAAAAAAGTCAGTGTAGAGATAGTTCGTCTAAGCAATCAAATGGAACAAACATTTTCGAAGCAAATTCTTTCAAATCAATACTTGATTCAACGAAAGTACAATTTTGTATCACTGGTAACTGACAAGATTAAGAAAGTATCTTTGACAAGATATACTGTTCAAAAACCGTCTCACATGTATGTAGAGACTACAAGTCTAAAACAGAAAACCTAAGTTTCTGCGAAAAAAAAATCATAAAAAAGACAGAGGATCTGCATCTACATTTTTTCATGGCATGCATGACTGAAACAGACTAACTTTATTACACTAAGTTTACAGTGTAAGTCCAACAAGCTCACTATCATTGGCAAATAAACACAGGCTTCACTTCTATTGACAAAAAAACAATACGATTTTATTATACCGAGTCTAAAGCCATATTCGTCAATAATAAAATTGCCCCAGAAGCTAAATAATCGTGTTTTAAACAAAAGATAGTCTGACAGGCAACAAACATCCAACACATCCATACCTAACAACTAATATCACCTTTGGGTATAGGAAAACTTAGGGAGCAAGGAAATCTCTATTACCCATGCCACAACTTGGAAAACATAGAAGGTGTTGTAAGAAGATAACACTACTAATATTTACATTCTACTGATGTGTTTCATTATACTAGACAAACACCGGAGGAAATTCATTAGGGATAACCAAGAAGTCCAGGTCAAACTTATATGAAAGGAAACAGTAATTAAACCAAACTGCAGTAAACAAAAGTGAACTAATAAATGAAACACTAAAAAGATCAAGCAAAAATAAAGAAAAAATAATAAGTATAAAAAATATAAAACAATTAAAGGAGGGGAGGGGGAGATGAGGAGAAAAGGCACCCCTTTAAATCCTCCTACCCGTGCACAAAAGTTAATCCACAATTATTATCCCACTAATCTCATTTACTTAATCACTTTCCACTGGATCAATGAGAATCCTGAAAGCATACAGTTAATTAAAGCAACTGATGAAAATACCACTGTTGAGCCATCATTTGGTCAAATTAACAAAAGCAAGGCAAACAAATATGACACTTAAATCAATCAAGCGACGCATCAAATCAAAGCACGAGCAACTAAGCATGCCAAAAAGCATTACCCACTGTGAGTCTCAATCGCCTCAATCTGCCTCAAGGCAATCCACAACCAGAAAGTAATGATATGGCCCGGGACCATAGCTGGCCCAAGAAAAGATGGGATCCCGAGGATCAAAATCTCTGCCCAGTGAGCATATGGCGCCGCAAACCCGATTGGGGCTGTGTATTCATGATGAACTTTGTGGATTTTCTCGTACCCCCACTTGCCGTGCAGAAACCTATGGATCCAATAGTTTGTGTAGTCCTCGACGATGAAATAAACCCCCAATTGCAGTAAGATTTCCCATAATGAAGGCAATGGCAGGCTCGTCCTTACTCCTATCAACTTTAACCACCGAAGAAAATAACAAAGAAAACATGAAAACGATTCAAAATGGTTAAAACACAATTGAGTACACTAGCATTTCTCATCCAGCGCAATCACTTGGGGGATTTCAAAGATTCCACATCAAATAACGAAATTTCACCAGATTTGAGTACTAATCAACACAAATAGAGAAGGAAAAAACAGGGCATTTACCTTGATGGAGGGGTAGGAGACGAGCTGAAGGGGACCCACAATCAGAAAGAACATGCCCATAACCGATTTGTAGCAGCGGATTGTCTCGGGAAAAGCGAGCTTCACCTTGGGCTGGATTTTGTAGGGCCCGACAGATTTACCGAAGAAGTGCTCGAGAAAAAGGTAGTAAAAGGGGAAAATGGAGAAGATGAGGAAGAGGAAGATGATGTTGTGGCAGTAAAGGAAGTAGTCGGACTTGGTGGAGGAGTATCTGAGCCAGAGCGCCTCGGCCGCCGTGAGGGGTCGGCCGAGGGCGGCTTCCGCCGCGTCGACGGTGGCATAAGGCAGCATTAGGCGGAGCTGGATTAGGAAGTAGGAGGGGTTTCCTTAATTGGCTGCTTGCTTTGCTTTGCTTTGTGGGACTGTGGCTTTGTGTGGAGATTGTGTGGGTTTTGTGGTTTTTGTCATATAGTCTGTTAAAATATTGCGGGAAGAAAAGGGTGGAGCTACCTCAAAGACGGCACCGTTTTGATGTGGGGACGAGTTTATATACAATGTGACTAGTACGTGGCCCGTGCGATGCACGGGAAAATAATATTTTGATTGTATTATAAATTAAATAAATAAATAACATTAATCATGATTTACCCATTATTTATAAATTAAACCGGGTTGGACACAGTCCGATCGGATGGACCGAGAACCGATTTATAACCGATTTAGTGCGCTTGAATAAAATATTTGCTATCGAATCCGCCAACACCAGTATGTTGGACTGGTAAGATCGATACAATTTTCTAAACAAATTTTGTTACATGAAAAATTATTTTAAATAAAATTACATATTTAAATAAAACGGAGATTTATAAATTGTTTATCAATTAGTTTAAACATTTGAATTTATAAATTGTTTAGATATTTAAGTAACACTTTTTATTTAAATTTATTACAAAAAGTACTATATATATATATATATATTAAAGTATTATGTATTAAAATCTGAACAACCACAAGACGGTCCGATTCTGAAAACCTTATATTTACCGTACATTAATAAAAATGATAATGAAATAATTATTTTGTTCACATAAATAATAATAAAATGATATATAAATATTCATAAATCATTAATCATGTTGTCATAAAAGTATTGTTAATATGATTATTTGAAGATTGGACTACATCACATTCACGTAATAAAGTATTTTCAATATTAAAATTTATATTTAGGTTCAATAATCAATTTGGTCTGGTCAAACTGATACATAACTTAATTACCTCGGACCAACCAAGTTATGTCAAGTTTTTTGACTATTTTAAATATCATCTAAAAGTAATTCAATCAAAGTGGGCAGTACCCTAATTCAATCACCCGATTGATCCAAAGTAATTTCCTTATTTTCTTTAAATATAATATTTAATTTTATAAAATAAAAATATTTTATGATTCATATGTCTACAAATGATAGTATATTAAGATTATAAATTATATATCCAAAGATGAACTATTTATTTTTATTTTATGCATATTAATAAAAAATAAACATAGTAATTTTAAAAAAATTAAGATTAATTGATTGGGTATGCAATTTAAAAAATATTTTTAACGTTCAATATATATATATTTAATATGATTGAATTTTTGGATTAGAATATATATATTTAAAATAATTTTATTATTAAAAGTTAAAAAGAAAAGATGCCATAAAGATTACAACTTTGAAAAGTTTGTAACCATTAATTTATGAACCCTCCGATTTTAAATGATTTATAATTTTTGAAACATGATACGTGCATTTAAAACCCATTAATTTAGGAACCATCCAATTTTTTATAATGAATTAAAATTAAAATGTAAAATGTAAAAGTTGCTGAAAATAGTATATAATAAATGTGGTTGACTTTTCCTTACTACTATTTATGGTAAATGTTAATTCTTATTATATATATATAGATTTGAATTTCATGATGGTTTTAAAATCTATACACGTGGTCATAATCTATATCAAGTAAACAATCCCCATAAGTTTAGAAATCAGTATTTATGTGTTTTTGAAAATCAATGCAAATTGGTTGATAGTTTTTTTTTCTAAGAAATTCCTACATTTCTAATTAAATTATATTATTCAATTCCATTTCAGTACGAATTTAAAGTTTCAATTTGAAAATAAATTTAAAAATCTGTACACTTGTTGATAGTCTTTCAAGTAAACATAGTCCCAATTTTTTTTTTTCCGTTATTAAGTTTTTTATTCTAACAAATGATGTGGTGAAGATTTATTAAGTGAGTACCTATTATGTATGGATTAATATCCAATGTTGTAGCATACACTTTTTTTAATTGCATAAATATAATTGTGTTTTTTTTTTCTTTGCATGGACGGTATAATTAGTGCAAGTTAATTAAATGAAGTTAACTTTTTAATATAATTCATTTAAGTTTTTTTTTTTTTACTAAAATGAATGATGCAAACTCGTACCATTTTAAATTCTCCACAATTTGAATTACTCTTTAACTTTTGAATACTGCTAAATTTCATATCTATTATTATTTATGCGTGCAATTTTGTAGGAAAGTTATTAGGAAGTTGTTAACATTTGAATTTGAATTAAAGATTTGTATGAAAATTATTAAGAAATTGTTAACAATTGAATTTGAATTAAAGTTTTTTTTTTTCCCTATAAATTTGTTAAAGCAACTATATTTTATTTAAACTTCTATCCCTTCCTTATTTAGAAATTTTGAAATTTGTTTTGCTTGCTATATTTAGTAAATAGTAATTCTTTTTATATAAGTATAGATTTGGAAGAAAATCATTGTTTTATTTTATTATTAGGATTATCACTTTCTATAGGTAAATGGGCCTAGCTACTCCTCCCATCACTAATTGATTTTAAAAGATGAAACTTCATTATGGTGTAATTAGGCCCACCCTTTTATGGTTCGCTTCATTTATATGGGACCTCACTCTCTTGCTCAATTCTCTAAATACTAGTACATACCCCGTGCGATGCACGGGACAAAGATATTAAATGAGTTATTTTCACACCCTTGTCCGTTTAAGTCTAAAAAATAATAGAGTTATTATCTATTTTTTACCTCTTTTAATTAACGTTAAATCTAAAAAACAATAGAGTTATTATAAGTTTTTTTCCACATCTTTTAACCAGCGTTGTTTTTTTTAGCAAGAACATTAAATATGAGCATGTTAAGGCTAGCTTGTAATTAATATATTATCTCTCTAAAATATTTATACTAATAAAAATTTAATTTTAGCATATAAATTTATCCCTTGATATAAGAGAAAGTAACAGTTTTACTTATTGTTGTTCAGTATATAATATTTAATTATTATTTTATTATATAATAAAAATGAATATTGTTAAATAGTGTAGTAGAATTGTTATAAAATTATATGAATTATTTTTTTTACAATATGGATTTAATATCTTTACAAGATTTGATAATATAACAATAATATATTCTTAATGATATAATAATATGAGATACGGATTTACATAATATTATGGGTTTATTCCTTAATGTTACGATATTGAATTAGATAATATATGATTCACTAATTTGTAATCTGTCTCTTTTTATATTGAAAATAATCATGTGATTGAGTAGGGATAACAATTATCTATAAATTCCTTCATTTAAAGGATAATTTTTAAATTGGTCCAAGTGTTGAATGCAGTCCGATTCTCTTGTAACTAAAATGAGAAGAGATTTTGAATTTCAAATTTTCACTTCAAAACCACACGTAAATTTGGATGCAGATTTTATTAAAAATAAAATGAGAAGAGATTTTGAATTTCATATTCACTTTAATATCTGTCAAAATTCTAAAAAATAAATTCAACAAAATCCATAATTTTAGGGGCATTTAATGATACCCTATTTTATGATTTAAAATATCTAAAATTTTTCTAAATATGGTGTACAATTAATTATTTTAAAAGATGAACCGCTTTTGTTACCAAAAAATGTGGGTACAATTTTGAATGTACATCCCGTCTAAATATCAGTTTTATTTTAAAATAAAAATTGCACGTGGTTTTAACCAATTTACACACTTTTTTTGAAAGAAAAAATTATTCATTAAGATTGGAAGAATTGGTTAGAAATTATACAACTATTTGTTTCGTAAATTTGTATCCAATTTGCACGGTTTTTAAATTGATTTGTATTTAAAATTGTTTTCATAAATAATTGGCACATTTTTTGCATAAGAATCTCTAAATTGGTTATCAAAAAAGATATGATTTAAATTTTGATAAAAAAATAAAATATGATACGAAAAAAATGGGATTCCAATTTTGCCATAAGAATCTTCAAATTTGTTACCGAAAAAATAGGATTCAGATTTTGTTTCTAAAGATTTACATGTATTTTTTCGAACTTTCCATTAATAGTAAGTCAAACATTATATTTATTTGGTCAAACTTTCTATTAATTTATTTTTCCAACAACCTCTTTATATATATATAGATATAGATATAGATATAGATTACTCCATGGTATCAGAGTCAGGTCAACTCCAACCTGGGTCTCTATACTCTCTATCTGCGTGGGACCTCACTTGCCCGATTCTCTAAATCTTACACTAGTACCAATATAAAAGTGTAATTAAGAATTTTACATTTAACAAAAAGAATTTGAATAAAAATTTATTTTTAACTTTTAAATACATCTCAAGAAAATTAAGAATTAATTTCTTTCACTTTCGTTTTTATTTCTCTTCTCTATAGTCTCTCTGTTGTAGTATGATAGAAAACTTAATAGTATGTTTCCCTTTTTCTTCACTTCTAGTTATCAGTGAAGTTGGTTTGTCTTCTGTTTTGAGCGTGATTTTTGGTTCCTTATTAGTTATTAACAATTACCTAAATATTTTTCTAAAGTATCGATCGGGTTTTCTCTTTATCAGCTGTTAATTATCTTAGTTAATTAGCACGAGATCGAGAGAATCCTAGTTCAAACAGGGTTTTGACTAAAATTGTGATTTTCACATGATTATTTATCCCAAACTAGATTGCTTGTGCACGAGTGTCAAGTCAAGCACCTTGTAATTAATTGGTTGACACAAAATTTATTTTGCTTTTCTAAAATATTTGTTCACAAACTCTTTTAATTTTTAATACGACTAATTGTGAGAATAAAAAAATTTAGAGAAAAAAATGAACAAACATATCAGTGAAATTGAAAAACAAGGCCCAAAATGAAAATAATAAATTGTTTGAAAATCGAATTTAAGAAAACAAAAATCTCTTTATTTTCTTTTAAGTGAGCAACAAAAGCCTAGAATGAGAAATCAAATTTTAAGGCATACCTAATACGAGAATAATGAAAACTTAAGACGTCTTAAAAAAATCTTGATCTTCAATTGACACTTTTCTAAAAATTAAGCAGTATTCTAAAAATCGACCTAGGCGGCGGTGCACCGCCGACGATTTGCTGAAATCGGCCAGGCGGGCTAGTCGGAGCTAGGCGGCCTCGGCAGTCA